TATTTCACGCGGACGAAGTCGCGGGTAACAGCTAGTTTCTAATTATAAGTTTGAAATCGTCAACCCGCATGAGCAAGCGTGGTGATTAATGCTCATACCTTTTCCGTGTGAAAAGAGGCTTTGCTCATCAGTGGGCACTTATAGGCTGTTGATGATGATGATGAGATGTTTTAGTAAAAACTTGTATTTTTTCAATGGCAATACGACGGATTTAAAAATAAATAACTTGTTCCAAAAACTTCCTTGAATTGTTTGTCATTAACGATCGCTACAGTCATTCATAGCTCAAATTAATTCATTGATAAATTTCCAACTTCGGCAAACTTCGGAAAATTTCGGATAATATCAGGGCTAAACCCTTTAGGCTTAGATTGATTAATGTTAGTTTATGTTTAGTTGATATTGATTTATAGTCGATATGGCCATAAGCTTAGTTTAGGAACAAGTGGGTTTGGAGCAAAAAAGGAACGATTATTTATGATTGGGGTTTAGGAATATAGAATTTAGTGATTATCTTGTTTTTGAGTGTTTTAACTGAAGTGAAATTAACTTATTTCTGGTAACTAGATAAATACTGCCTCGTTGGCCGAGTGGTCGCAATTGTGACTGCCGGGCAAGGGGCTTTCGGGTTCGATTCCCAGGTCGGGCAAAGTAATACTGGGTTTTTAAAAATTCTCAGTAGTAGCACGGAGTCTGGAACTGTGCCCGATACATGGCAATAGGCTCACCCCCTATTACATGAGACTCAGGAGCCCTGAGTATATAATAGGGTTAGTAAAAAGTGGGTGTTACATTGTACAGTGGCATAATGTGCACCTCTGCCTACCCCTTCGAGGATAAAAGGCGTGATGTAATGTGATGTAACTAGACAAAAATTTAGACTGTCATTTAAAAAAAAATGATTGCAATAGTACGTACATATAATATAATCGAATTGTTTATTTTTAATGAGCGTCTCTTGCCATCGAACGTTAAAGTTTGGCGTGTTTAGATTTAAGGCCACACATCTGTAAGATTTCACCGAATACATTTATTAAAAAAGATGATTTTAACAGAAACAGACGTATAGGATTGACTATGGTAGAAGTTTTGTGTAATCAGTTTATTTTAACTTCCGTTAACCATTTCTTGTGTCAACTTTAGACTCAAAGTTTAAACATTATTAGTGCATCTTGACATTTCCTTATAGATTTATTGCAAAATTAATTAATGTTTGGACACCGGTCACGGTTAAGCATGTTGATACCAACAATACTGTACATCTATAGTAAACATTCATTTTTGCATGTATTATTGTAACCTAGACATGTTTTGGAAAATAAAACTATCTTTATCTTTATCTAAACTCAGCTGTGATTATAACCTCAATATTTTCAAAACTGACTTCTTAGGTTAAAAAAATCAGAAAACAAAAAGAGACACACCAACATTGTAGTCACTTTCTTTTACGCCGCTGTAACCACAAGCGTCCTGTTTGCAAAATGTGTTGCGAAAAATTCATACGTCAAGCCTTTGGTATACATGGCAACACGTCAAGCCAATAAACCAGTTTAACCTGATCTCGCTTTATATAATCTTTCAACACTTTCAACGGTTAGTTTATACTGGTTATGTATAGTTTGAGGTGTTCCCGTGTGTGCCACTGTGCAGGTTGGTTCGACCGCAGGACTCACCCAAATACTGCGGTTGACACCGTCCCTTGTGGTTTTACGGAAAATGTTGGGTTCAACCCGGAGGCAAGTATGACCACAACCCACGTATAGTTCCAAAAACTACTGAAGAAATTACGTCACGATTTCTATGAGAAGGTTTTTTTGATTTTAGAAGCAAGTATGATACTTAGTAGTAAAATTGTTCACGTGTAGTTTTTTGCTACTTTGCATGGCCCGTGTAAGATGCGTCCCCGGTGCTATCATCGGCATAGCAATGAATACCCTCAACAGACAGCAAATCATTGATATGCAGAAGAAACAGCGTCGGAGAAAGATTCCCGGGTCAGGCAAAGTATTACTGGGTTTTTAAAAAAATCTCAATAGTAGCACGGAATCTGGAATTGTGCCCGGTATATGGCAATAGGCTCACCCCCTATTACATGGGACTCATAACATAAATAGTGAAAAGTGGGTGTTACATTGTAGTGGCATAATGTGCACCTCTGCCTACCCCTTCGGGGATAAAAGGCGTGATGTTATGTTATGTTTATTCATGTAATGTCGCCAGAGAACCTAATTAAATGTGTCTTTTCATTCAGGTCACCACATGTTTTCAATAGTACATTTTGCTTATTAGGGATTGGGAAACAATGAGTACACTAAAGTACACTTGAAGCCACATTTTTTATGGGATAAACCATTAAACAAGCAGACGGATCACCTGATGGTAAGCAAACAGACATGGACACCTGAAACACCGGAGGCGTTACAAGTGCTTATCGGCCTTTTAGAGATTAGAAATTTGAGGATTTTCAGGGATTTGAGGATTGTGGAGACTGGGAAGGAGGGGGGGGGGGGATATTTGGGCCTTCGAAGACGTCACACGACGAAACACAACGCAAGCATTGTTTTACGTCGGTTTTCTGTGAGGCCGTGGTATCACTCCGGTCGAGCCGGCCTATTCGTGCCGAAGCATGGCTCTCCCACACTTAACATCATTTGAAGATGGTATTAACATTACTGTAAAGTAGATTCATTATTAAATTATTACGTTTTTAGACTTACTTCAAGAATAATACGATTCTAGTACTTAAAAACATATTCATAATTCTCCTATTTAAATACCATTTCGAAGAATCCTAGCCTAAAGTTAGCCATTGTAACTGATATTTAACAGTATCCATGTTTACAAAGGGTCGACCTCAACAAAGTGGAGAAAAGCAACGCAAACGAATATACCTAACCAAAATGAGGGTCGAAATAACAGAAGCATTATCCCAGTATCCTAAGCCGAAATAATTTGTTCCAGTCAGCCTAATTTTTTAATATTACAGAATTATAATAAGGTCATTTATCACTTTTGCTCTTTCTCTTTCGCTCATTCTTTGTTACCCGACTGCCAAAGAAGGAGGGTAATGTTTTCTCTATCACACACAATCTACTTAGGCATGTTTTAGTAGATATCATTATCACTACATAGTATAAAACAAAGTCGCTATCTGCCGTCTATCTGTCCCTATGTATGCTTAGATCTTTAAAACTACATTATGGATTTCGATGCGGTTTTTTTAATAGATAGAGTGATGCTTAAAGAAGGTTTATATTTTTTATAATACATATATATGGCACCCGTGCAAGCCGGAGCGAGTCGCTAGTGAGGAATATTTAAAAGACATTGATATTGAAATGTAAATTTATGAATATTTCTGATTTCACAATGTTTATGATTGAGTTTAGGGTTAGTAATTTTTGGTTTCATAATTTCAAAAAGAGAAATTGAATCTTTTTATATAAATCACTAAGTATTACTGGTTTTTTTTATCTCAATAGTAGCATGGGTCCTGGAATTGTGCTCAGTATATAGCAATACTCTCACCCTCTGTTACATAGGACTCATAACATAAACAGTGAAAAGTGGTTGTTACATTGTACAGTGGCAATAAGTGACATAATGTACACCTTTGCCTACCCCTTCGGGGATAAAAGGCGTGATGCTATGTTATAAAAAAATAAATCATTTAATGACCAATCACTATTATACAAAGGTCCACAGTCTACCATATACAAAGAGTAATATAAAGTTAAAAATAACATCTTGGAACAAGTCGTCCAAATAGCTGAAATACCTTTCGCACGAAATGTCAGACATTTGTATAAGACATCGCTTTTGTCTCGAAATGCCAATGCTGCTAAACGACTCTGCATATCGCGTTCAGAAATCTTATTGCCTACCGTGAAGTGTGGGGCAAAAAAAAAATGCGATAATCCTTACTAATATTATAAATCTACTAAACCGATTGCTTTGAATTTTTGCAGACGTAAAGTTAGAAGTCTGGATTAAATAATAGCATACTTTTTATCCCGGAAAAATTTGATATTGCCGAGTGAAAACAAAAGTATTGGTATAGATGGCCCTGTGTGTATTGGTATATGTCGCATAAGCTACTTTTTATCCTTTTGTGAAGCGAGCGAAGCCGTGGGTAAAAGCTAGTAAGTAATATAGGACATTTGGGACGTAATTTTTCTATTTTCAACAGAATTGAGAGTGCCCCAAAAGGGACTGTTTTTATATCATCTGAATTTAACGTAAGAATGGAAGCAAATGGTTCGTAGTAATTAAAATGTTTACTTTATCAACAATAATAAAGGAACGAGAATCGCTGAATTTTGTGTTGCTAATTGTTATTTTAAGACGTTTCCTAATCGTAATCATTAGTATAGCGAGAATTTCTTCCTTATCGTGGTGTTTGAAATTATTATTATTATGAATTGGGATGATGACAGGGTATGAAAATTAAAAAGCTAATTAGTCCGTAAGTTAAGTACTTAATGAAAAAATATTAGACACGTATTTTTTTATTTTGTCGTATAATAAAACAATACTTAGATAAATGGAATCAAAGTTTAGGAGTGGGGGCTAAAACGTCATCTCTACGTATAAAATGTACATAGAAGTGACGTCACGCGACATTTCAAATCAATATATCGTCGAAAGTATTCGTTTCTGTAAGAAAATAAAAAATACGTGTCTAATAATTTAAAATAATCTATCAGACGAACATTCAAATAAAGATAAGGCATCTACCCTATTACCTTTAACTTAATATTGTTGAAGTTGTTTCGTAAAGGGGAATAGAAAAGTCTACTTAGAAAGTAATCTTAGCTTGTTCCGAATCCTATTCCAGACTTCTTGCTGTTATAATCGTGGAAACCAAAAAGCTTCATCCAGAAGTAAGTAGACCCTAAGATCACAGAAGCCCCATCTTGAGAAACGACGACTTATTCTAATAAAACAGCTTTTAATTAAAGGTTCTGAATGTGACGATGAAGAAACGTAACCTTCCTTACCTGTAATAATTCAAGACCTGGGCGAAGACTCCAGGGTGCCTATCGAAGAAGTACTCGTTGAGGACGGGGTCGTAGTTGGCGAGCGCCTCCGTCAGCCGGGAGAGCCTGGTCGCCGGGATCTTCTTCAGAGTCGCCTTGTACGTCTCGTGACGAATCCCTCCTACGTTCAGGACCACGCGGTTCTCCGCGTCCATGTTGAGGAGGTTCATTTCTGGTAGTAAAAAATATAAGTGAAAAATTAGGAATGAGAAATGCGTTTTTAACGGTTTACTGCACGGTTGGTGCGGTGGCTGGGCAACCAGCTGCCGTGCAACGCGTCACGGGTTCGTTTCCCGCACGGAACAACAATTTGTGTGATCCACAAATTGTTGTTTCGGGTCTGGGTGTCATTGTGTATGTGAACTTGTATGTTTGTAAACGCACCCACGACACAGGAAGAAATCCTAATGTGGGGCAATATTTTTTCTTAAATAGAAAATCCTTCAAAAGCATAGCTTTTAGGAAGAGAGATCTTTGTGGGACACACCTTTTGATCAATAAGTCCAAAGTTAAATATTAGTTCAAAAATAAATATTATACACTCAGGTTATAGACTGAGAATTCCTATTCTTCTGTTGTCAATTTTATATTTCAATTGAGTGTAGGTAATGGTGGGTGTTTTCATTTCTTATTCGTCATCAAGTTAGTAAAACCGAAATGTCTTTTATCAATTTGTTTCATAACCAACATCTGTTTTATTATTCGATAAGAGCCACTTAGTTCTTGCTAGTATCATAATATTAAGATAAGTACTCAATTTCACTTGATGAAAGTTCTGTTTTATTGATATCAAACCCAAACATAGGTTTTGATGCCAATAAATCTATACCAAAAGAAGTTGAAGAAGCAAGTCTGTTAATAAATTACGAGGACAATAAATTATTATGAAAAGAAAGGTTATAAGTAGAGAAGAATGGAAAGTTAGGACCATTTATCATTTTTTTACTGACAACATTCATTGTTATAACAGCAGATTATATTAGGCAAACATAAATAAAACACTTATTGTTTAGCTAAGGGTCGTCACACGTAGGTTTTATATCTTTGCGATTTTTTGTGCGACTTAAAATGTGTTTTAAATTCAGATTGAGAAGTCTTAAAATTGTCTGAAAAGTTACAATCTTTACTTTGAGTTTTGTAAAGTTCTTTTTTAATTTTAAACCATCTAACTTGATGATTTGTTCTGTATAAATGTCTTTGACATTAGGTACTATGTATACTACATCTAATCAATAAAATGTGTACACAATACACTCGATACCATTCACAAATGAATTAACATCACCTGTCATTTGATATTAATTGATTAGTCGTACAAATATACAACCATGCGTTCCTTACTATTACTGGGCACCCGATGAATCCACATTGTGAAAGATATAATATTTCTTCCTGTAAATAAGGAGATAAACTATCTCTAATTGACCAGATAACATCATGAATGAGAAAATAATATTTTACTGCGATATAATCCGTATCTTGGCCTCCGTCCATGGTCAATTAAGGGGAAAAAATCAGTCGTCATATATTTTTGCGTGAAAGAAAACATGGGAGGAAATCTGTTTATGTTGCTGATGTGCCAATAATAGCTTTGTATGTGAAAATATTACTCGGTAACAATATACGAGTATTTCTTTTCATCCTTGTTGTGGTTTGGCTTTCATAAAGGATGATAAAGTGGTTTTGTGAAGAGCTTATGCGTACAAGTGCTTACTTATACTTTTAATATTATACTCTGTTTTTTCATTATTCTATTTTTGCTGTTGATAAAAATAGGGCTTTATTGTTGCGAACTGTTTATCGTTAAATTATGGGTTGCTAAAACTAGTGCTATGTGCACAGTTATCAGTGTTAGGTACCAGTTTTGCTATGTTTATTAAATTAACTGGTTCAATATATAATTATTTTATTCATATATCTGATAAGACAATATATTAAATTATTTATGAATGTTTATTTTTTCTTGGTGTAACGACAGTTTATTAACCCGCCGAGCGTCCGCATTCCTTATGATCTAACGGGTGCACACGTGACATTTGGAGCATTTTTTCTTATGATCCACCGGGTGCTCATAAGGACGCTCGAGGGATTAACAATTCATTTGGAAATATGAATGAAACGAACAACTTGGCAGCGTTCATGAGTTCATTATCCATTTATTCTATGTAACAATCTTGTACCCATATTCTCCTTTGATTATCGTACTACAAAAAGTTGTATACTTACTGGCGACTTCTCTTCCTCTCTCTTCTCGTGGGTAGAACAGTTAGTGTGGGCTACGGCGACCGACTTTGTCCTCTCCTCGACATCACCTCTATATAGTCGTCTTCTAGCGCGCTAAATATCCCCTGCGGAGGCATTTCTGGGTGAGGGAATCCTGTGGACAAGGATATAAAGTGATTTAAAAAAAATTGCTAAAGAAAAGAAAAATGAAAGAGATAATGGAAAATTTAACACAATAATATTATCATTCCTTGAAATTGTAGTACTTATACAGTAAATTAATTAATTAAACGTGTTGATAGTATATGTTTTATATGTGGTTTGGTTTCGGAATTGGTTGAGCATTAGCTTGCCTCGTTGGACGAGTTGTCGCAAGTGTGACTGCCGGGTAAAGTGCTGCCGGTGGGCAAGGGGTCTCGGGTACGATTCCCGGGTCGGGCAAAGTAATACTGGGTTTAAAAAAAAACTCAATAGTAGCATGGAGTCTGGAATTGTACCCGGTATATGGCAACAGGCTCACCCCCTATTACATGGGACTGTAAATAGTGAAAAGTGGGTGTTACATGGTACAGTAGCATAACGTACACCTCTGCCTACCCCTTTGGTGATAAAAGGCATGATGTTATGTTATATGATGTTATGTTGAGCACTAGCGAAATAGCGAAACGTTTTCCAACGCAACGCATGCGTCAATATTAACCTGATTAATATGAGACTTTAACTTTCACAATACATTTTTTAACATTATTCATTACAAAAAGCCTAATCCTTTTTGCCCAATACCTAATACCATTAAAATCACCCCAAAAGACGCCAAAAATAATACTTTTAACAACCCCATTATAGACGAATAGACAAAAACACGATTGCTGTTTTACATTAACGTAACAAAGAAGTATTGAACAGTAGGTTTGTGTTCAACAAAATTTGGCCCTGGCGACCCCATTATACAGGTCGATTTTATTTCTGTTGCCCGCTTTATTGATTATACAGTGTGTAGTGACGTGCGTGGGTGGTTTATTAAAGTTTTTCGGGTAGTCGTGCGTTCGGAATTTCGTTGTGAAGTGGATCGATTGGTCTTCGAGTAGAGTTACTTTTGTTTTGTTTTAGTTTCGTGTTCTGTGATTTAATGGGTCTTGGTTTCGAAGTGGTATATATATTGGTATAGAAATGTTTGATTGCCTATTGCTCTATTGTTCGCAAAAGGATGAACAGGAGTTAAACATTTTGTCCGTAGTTATAAGTTCCTTATATATAAATATTTTTTAATCAAAAATCTCAATCAACAATAAAGCACCAGCTGTTTTCATTTATTTTATAGAATTATAAATTTTGTATGACTGACATAACGGTAGAGACAAAAAATAAATAGTACATTGATTAATTAAGTAGATTTTCCCATCCTTCTGAAAACGAAAACTCTTGATAATGTATGTTTTGATGAAAAAAAAACAAATGACCATCTTAAAACTTTACTAGCCTTCAAAAAACGAGCACAGATAAATTAGCCAGCTCCAAAGATCCGAGTCTTTTTCACCACAGAAACCCAAATGATTTTTTAACCCTCCCGTGTTTTGTAAAAATCACAAAAGGTCCCCATTTTATACCCCGAGACAGTTTGATTAAGTTAGTTTTACAAGTGGGCCGGTCCCGACGACCCGAAGATTAGGCCCGATAGGGTTAACGTTTTCAATTATAACTTGCTTAATCGTTCTGTTAGACAAGTTTGATCGTGTTTTTTATTTAGTTAAACTTTAGTTGTCTTAAAGTAATTGGCGTTTGTATTGATTTAGTCTGATAGAATTAGGGAATTAAGGATTTGTTTCCGACTTGAACTCAACTTTGTTTTTAATTATATGTTTGTAAATAAACGGAACGTCACTCGAAGGACTGACGGCAGATGGGCCAGGAAAGTCCTTGAGTGGAGACCACGGACCGGTAGTCGAAGCGTGGGCAGGCCTCGCGCTAGGTGGACTGACGACATCGCGAGAGTTGCGGGGAGCTAGTGGATGCAGGTGGCGAGTTGCCGTTCGACGTGGAAGGCTAAGGGGGAGGCCTTTGTCCAGCAGTGGACGTCTTCTGGCTGTTGGTGATGATGATGATGATGAAATAAACAGAACAGACTGCCTCGTTGGCTGTGTGGTCGCAAATGCGACTGCCAAGCAAGGGGTCTTGGGTTCGATTCCCGGGTCAGGAAAAATATTACGGGATTTAAAAAAAAATATAGCTTAGCACGGAGTCTGGTATTGTGCCCGGTATATGTGCAATTAGGCTCACCCCCTATTACATGTTACTCATTACATAACGCCTTTTATTCCCGAAGGGGTAGGCAGAGATGCACATTACGGCATTTAATGTCACTGTACGATGTAACACTCACTTTTCACTATTTATGTTATGAGTGTCATTTACTAGGGGGTGAGCCTATTGCCATATACCAGGCACTATTCCAGACTCCGTGCGACTACTGAGATTTTAAAAAACCCAGTGTATTACAATAATACTTGTTTGATAATTAAAACCTTTATAATCAGACGACCTACTTCTCAATAAGTAGGTACTCTTCAATACTCAATACGCAATCAGATAATGATATGCTTTTAATAAAGTCTCGCTTTGATACGATATACGTGAGGTTTTAAGGAAAAAAGTGATTTCCTCACTCGCTTTAGGAGCCAACGAACCGGCAACTCGAGTTCCACTTCGCTAAATACTGTACGCAATTTGGGACTCTCCCAATTCCGTAATGTAGGTTTGCCTCAGCCTTTTAAATAGATTTAATTTGGTCCTTGGAAGGTCTGAAGTCTGTCTCTTTTTGAGCTAGAACATTTGGAAAATTAACATTTTAGTGTAAATGTTTTATGAAGTTTTACATAACATAACATCACGCCTTTTATCTCCGAAGGGGTAGGCAGAGGTGCACATTATGCCACTGTACAATGTAACA